TTGCTCTTTCTTCACCTTCTAAATCTACAGATGTCCAACTTACTTTAAAAGATAGCTTCACTGCCCAAAGACTAATGGAGGAGGGAGAAACTTTTAAGATAAAAATACATTTTAAAAAGAAGCCAGGCTATTTTCATCTTGTCGAATTAGCTATGGTACCAGTTCACACTTCACAAAGCAGTGGGTGAGAGAGCTAGAAATGTTCAAAAATGATCCTTTGTCAAATATAATGCTCCATTTCACATGGCTAGGCAGAGGGACAAAAATAACACAGGTTTGGAAGCTCAGGTGTCACGGCAATTTAGAAATAGTGGCCAATACGGACAGTTTGGCATATCAACAATATCGGGGGTTTTTTTGTATATCAACAATATCATTGATTTTTTTTTTTTTTTTTTTTTGCAGAGGGAAGCAATCCCAGAGATCTTTGGGCCATCCTAAGAGAAGACCCAGTGAGCTGTTGCCCACTGAATTCTAAAACCTAAAAAAAGTCAACTAACCAGGTGCTTTCAAATAAAAAATGTGGAGGAGAAAGGGAGATAATTAATTTAGCCCTCACTCCTCAGAGCCTACATGAGCCCATGACCTTAGCTTTGTCACCAACAGTATACCCTAAGGACAGTCACATGGTTAAATGTCAAATGAGAAATAAAAGCTAAAGGGGAATAAAGAGTTAAACTTTTTAAACTTTCTTTTAACTCCACGGAGAGTGTTTGCTAAGCCCACTTTACTCTTGATAAATAATGTCTAAGATAAACAGAAATGGATTTACAAATGTCTAAGAATTTAAGGAAATTATATTAGGATAAAATAGTTTCAACTAAGCATACGACAAGTTCAGCTTAAAATAGTCAGGTCTTGAAAGCCCTGCTTCCATCTGAAGTCATCTCTTGGGACCTGAAAGGAGGGTCCAATTTCTTTGTGGTTTACAATGCAATGCTTTAGATTTCATTGCTTCAAGACTGACTCATTAGAGAGAGCTTGAGCTCCTAATTGTGTCCTCAAGTACAGCCGTACCCTTGACTCCCCTTACACTAGTACCCAGAGACACTTTAAAGCCAACCACTTAAGCAGAGTCCCAGTCTCATGACCCATGCTAGAAGGATGGAAGTGGATCCCAGGAGAAACCCCACTCATAACTTTGGGGAATAAATCAAGAGTCCAGGTAAGGCATTCAACGTTGGGTTCCTGCCTTACTCTTAATAGAGAGGGAATGTTATGTGTCTTTGCGATACATAAGGGAAACTGAGGTACAATCTCCTCCACAAGGGAATTTTTTCTCTGGTGAGGAGATGAGGTGGGAGGTGACACTATGTTACGCATCTTCTGGCCACCACTCTTCTCAAAGGTCATCTCTGGCAAATGTACACCAGGGAGTAAACAGCAGTCTCCAAAACCAATCAAATGGGCCTCCCATGTACCCTGTGCATTCTCCTGGGGGCTTCTGCTAAGAATTGGAGTGTGGCAGGTGTCACAAATTCTCTAAGTTATAATCTGAGACAGCTCCAACCTGTGCCCGGCATTACTAGGATATCAAAGCTAAAGACCTGGGGATCTGACACAGGAGAACAGGATCTGAAGTTTGAAGTAGACTAACTTGGGATATGGCTTCTGCTGGAGGAAAAGCTGTGGAGACAAGGGTTGGGTCCACAGATGCAGGCCTGGGGGCAGAAGGTCCTCTATGTTAGTGCTTCTTCTCTGACCAGACACTTCCCCTTACTCTCACCAAAGCTGTTCTCTGACTTGAATTCCATCTCCTTCCTTCTCTAGTCCTCAATGCTCATCTTTCTCTCAGTTCTTCGGATCTAGTTCATTGTTCTAATGAAAAGTGGAATTGCCTAAAACAGTGTGATCTGAGGAGCCACAGACATGACTGTGAGTTTCTAATAATATACAAGTATTCTATACCCAACATGTAAAGTCCTAAATTGGACACATAAAATTTAGTAGAGATTCAAAATTTGTTGAATAGCCTAATATGAAGAGTTGATACCCTTTCCCCAGAGATGCTAGCTTACAAAACTAATCTTCAAAAAAGTATATGCATCAAGATGTTCATCATGGTGTCATGATTATTATCAATAATATACTCACAATGAGGAATGGTTAGGAAATTCTAGTATGTATTTCTCATGGAAAGTTATGAAGGCATTTAAAATGTTTAGTACTCACTTATAATTTGGTGAAAACTAGAATTAGAGGATTAAAAGAAAAAAGAAATACAGTAATAATTAATACAGTATGATTATAATCACACATGAATGACACCATTAATGGCTCTCTTTACTTGTTAAGAGTGTGCCATTTATTTATATTTTTATACTTTCCAATTTGCTCATAATTGTACAATGGATAAAATTTTAAAGGGTAAATATTTTTAGAAGGGAAATACTTTATTTTCATAGAATTTTTTCTGCATTTAGTTGACAATTATTTCTTTTCATGTTAAAAAGGATTCCATTTTTCTGCAAGGGTACTGAGGCAAAGGAAATGATGAAAATGAGAAAAAAAATCTTGCTCTGATTAAAAATATCTCTACTAGTTCTCTGTGGTTACCACATCAGAAACAGATCTCACACCTGACATTCAAAGTTCTTCATAGCCCAGAGCCCAGTGCATCTCAACTGATCCTGTTTCTCTGCTATGGAAATCAGTCCAAGTCTCAGAGTGTCACTTAATTCACTTCTCTGAATGAAGATATCCCTGATCCTTTGACTACCCAGCTTCCAATGGTTCCCTATTCTCTTCAGGTATTGCTATAGCACCTAAAGTTACATCACCTGCTGGTATTGTGCCCATTCTTTGTCATTCTGTTCGTTACTTCTGGGTGAGTAAATACCTCTCAGCTAGACTTGGAGCTCCTTGAAGTTGGAAATTTAGATGCTTTTCAGTAGTTATTGGTCAAATACATACAGAGGCAGAGAGGAAGTAGAGTTCTACAGCCAGGCTGCCATTATATTCATGCCCTCAGTGATATTAGCTAAATGAAACATGATGTTTTAAAATACTGCCTGTGACATCACTACTGGGACATGCACTTTCCATTTTCTGCTTTTAGAGCTGTAATAGTCTATTTCTGCTTATTCATTCATATCAATTCTGAGGTTCTTCTTGGAATCAAACAGATTGAATTGCAATATGCCTCACTGAGATTTAGAATATAAGTAACAAAAGAAATGACCTTCTAGAAATCAACTTAAGACCACACACAGGACCTTGCTTCTCCTGCAGTTTTATCTGAACAATAAATATAAATCTGTGTCTCCATGCTGTATCCTCACTTAGGCAGTAGGCTTTCATCTATCAATATCCCCATTAAACAAAAAAAGAACTCTCCAAAGCAAATGGTCCAGTGCTTTAGAAGTGATGGGCTAAATGGCTATGCTCTTGTATGCCATCAAATACTCTGCCCGGATTTAGAAGTAAACAACATCTGTACATTAGCAACCTGACACCGAGACATTAACAAGAGTTGCATATCTTAAGAGAAAATCCATAAATCATAAATGAAAGCAAGTCAAATGACCCACCAGAGGAGAAAGAAAAACCTAGTGTCCATTACTTTTGCAGAAGGAGCATACAAGGTCAATATGATTGTTGACTCTGAAGGGCAGGGCATCAATTAAAAAATCCATTTCCCACTGTTCACATCTCCATCTTACTACAACATATCCATGTTTTTTTAATAAGTGAAGCAGCACTCAAGAGTAAATGCTTGCTCATATTCTACCATTTACAGGATGATCTTGGACCTTCTCTATATTCTAGCTTTTAAACCAATAAAATATCACCTGCTATGCCTAGTTACAAAGTTATGACAAGTCAAACAGTATTACCTGAGTCTGGGTTTATCTGTCATCCTACTGTGCATGATGCAGTCTCATACTCCCTAAACTAGATAACTGTTCTTCTTTTGGATATTACCCAAAGATTAAATAATGATTTCCAGATTTCTTACTGTGATGTCAATTGATTTTTCTAAGACTTGAGCATCCAGCGTCTATCACCACCCAAAACCGTGTTGGGTATCTCTGGTTAGGACCCAGCTCTCCCATGAACTGTTGTCTAAATACACCATTTTACTAGATGCTAAGGAAATAGATGTTTTCTCACATGATCACACCAATGTGTGAAGGGCAATGTGCAAAAAGTTTATAGATTGCTGTTGCTAGTGTTTGAGCCAATGCCTATGAAAATTAATATTATACCTCACATCTAGTAGTGCGTACTTGGGCCCAACACTGACAGATAACAGTAAATGGTCCATGGAGTTAGAGTGAGGGAAACCTGTATTCAAATTCCTGTTCTGTGACCTTGAGATTGTAATTTAAGATTTCTGTTTCTCACTTTCCACAATTGGCTCTGGTTTGATGTGATGATTTAACTCAATAGCGCGCGCGCATACACACACACACACACACACACACACACACACACACACACACACACACCAAGTGCCTAAAATATGAAGGTATTATTCATAATTCCTAAACATCTTTTCTTTTTATATTAATCAGTCAAAACCGTGCTGAATACAAGACAAATTCTATAGAAAATTTTCAGAGTTTGGTGGAATGTTTTGATATCAAATAAAGTGGATGTATGGTGGGATGAGAAACAGAGAAAAGGAGATGTGTGGGAAAAGACATCTCACTGACACACTTTCAAGAATGTACAACATGCTCAGCTCAAGGAGGTTGACACTGGGGTGTGGGGACAGAATATCGTGACAAATCAACCCTGCGCGGACTAGGAGCACTGCCCCCTTCACCTTGCCAGAGCGGGTCTAGAAACTAAGATAGGACCCCACAAATGACCCAGTCCAGTCCCCTCCTCCTTTGGCCTGAACCTCTGGGTGCCAATGGTGCTGAATCACGAGCCTGGCAGCAGCAGCCGCCCTCCTCACAGCTTCCACCCGGGCACATCTCCAGGACAGGGACTGGAAAGAATCAGCGCCCCACCTGGGGTGTGGAGGGGCGGGGGCAGGGGCAGGTACTCACAGCTTCGGCACCTCGCCGGGTGGCTCCAGTGACCGGTCCCTTGGTGGCCCACACTCCCTACCCACGGCTGGCAGCTCCCCGTCGGCCCCTTGCGGGTGGCCCTGAGATCCCCTCAGCTCGCCCACCGCCCGGGGCAGCCACGGCTCAGAGCTCAGAAGCTCAACCCGACCAGGAGCAGCTGGAGCAGCTGTCGTGCCCAAGGGGTGTCGGCTACCAACGGGCCAGACCATTCGCCCGCTGCGCCCAGGGGTGCGCGCCGTGCAAGAACGCTCAAACACCAGGACCCCGCGAGGACCAGCGATGGGAGGGAGGGACCCAAGAGGAGGAGCGACCTCCGCCCGCTGAGTTTCCAGAGAGGTGGGGACCGCCCAGACCAGCAGCTTCTCCTGCAGGTGTGCAGAAGGATGAGCTGGGCTTTTCGGGGCACCCCTCACCCCGCCTTATCCTTGGTCCCGCTCAGGGAGCTTTCAGAACGCTGCTAACAGAGGACCTAGCAACGCTAGCTCCAGGGTGGCATTCCCCTAAGGGGATGCGAAGGACCCTGGCTTGACACCTATCTGGGCCACCTCTTTCTTCACCTTACATCCTGGACCACCAGGTCTCTGTGCCAGCTTACCACAAACATAGGGGTACCTTGGATCTCAGGAAAGGGCTCTTCTGATCTTTTATCTAAGCATCGTTGTTTACCTAAGAATAAAAGGGTACCAAATGCGAACTTGAAAGTTTGACAGTAAGATCAAGTGAGCGCCCTCCCTGCAGTTTGTATGCCTGCAAAGGTATAGACCCTTTGAACAGATCAGTGGAATATTCCAGAAGAAAGTCAAGGATAGATGCAGTTTCTTGTTCATGATTTTAAAGGTTACTGCCTTAGTAACTGTGAAATAATCGTGACCTCACGTGAAATAAACATCACAGGACTGAGAAAAGTTCATGAACATGAAATTTCCTTGACTTTCCTGATTCCTGCCTCTGTCCCAGCCAGACTCACGCATGTTCCCTGAAGACAATGGTTAAAACCAAACAACTGTCAAACTCTCCATCTAGAAGGAAATTGGCAGTTACCTATAAAATGTGACAGAGGTGGAGTGCTCAATGTACCCCAAATAAAATGAAATTTCAAAACTTAAAGTTATTATTTCCAGATTAAAGTGGTGTCTTAAATTTAAATAAGTATCCCCTCGAACAAGCCAACGTCAATTGAGCGTTTGCAATCAACATTCCGGTGAAAGTATTTTCTAGCCTAGCCTTCACCTCCTGCCCTACCCCTGCTGTTGACATCAGTGGAAATGCTCCTGGTTATTACACCGGGCAGGCTGGATTCAAGTCCGCTGAGCTGGCCTAACGTTTAGTTTCATGAGTGGCAGAGCAGACACTGACATCTGCCCTCTGGGGAAAGACACACTGTAAGCCCTATTATAGTTAACTGGGACATGGATGTGACTTTGACCTTGGTGAACACAGAGTTTCATGGTGGAGAAGGGATATTTAGGTATCGAAGATGGACATCACCCTGAGGTAGAAAAGGGGACCAGAAAGGAAAAGATGGGCTTTATGCAGAAGTAGCTTGGGCATCAGGATCAGAAGCTCAATGGAGCATTCTGTGAGAATGAGGTATCATTCTCACTGCCTTTTAGTTGGCTAGCCTTACACTATTATTTATGGTATGCCTACACTTAAACTTTAGGTCACCATTCTTCCAATCTCAAGTATAAAGAGTTTTCAAATAAAACTACTATAGTGGTTTCTCATATGCCTTACCATAATTTAAAGAAAAAATAAAATAAAAGCAGGGTCACTACCAACTTCGAAGCTCAAGACAGCACTTACAGGAATCAGGAACAGAAGTCACTGGCTTCCTTGTAGTGTGCTATTGTGACAGTGTAAACTGATGTTAATTTTCACCAGCACAACAGGTATCCCTAGAGCCAGGTTGCTGGGGAACCCGGATCACCATGTCCCAAGAGCAGCCAACAGCTTCAACACAGGGCACATAGTGTCAGCCTCAGATATGTACAGCTCTCCCCACACACAACTGTTTCCCTTTTAAAGGTGGCATCAATAGGGATAGACAAGAATTAAAGAGATGGCTAGTGGTAGAAATAGAGAGATATAGAAAGAAGAGGTATGTCGTATGATATGGACTTGATGGTCTGGAGTCACCTGTGGCCACCTACTTGTAAGCTGATGTTCTTAGCACATATGGTTCTGAATAAAGAAAGGAAAATTTTTATGATGGTAACCTTGGAAAGCTGTCAAAGTTACTAGGCAGAATGTCACCAAGCCTGAACCTTCTGCTCTCCTTCAGTCTCTTGAAAGTTTTCAAGTCCATGCAGAACAAAGTAAGAAATCATTTCTCCAAACAACTCTGTGAGTTTCTGGATCTATGAACTACTTCTCTGAGCCTCATGACAAAGGACAGGATGGGAAGAGAAATGATTTTCTGTGGTGAATGAAGCCTGGCTTAGGAGAAGGAGTGTTACTGCCCATGATGGCGTTGAAACTTTACTTGATGCTGGTTATTAATGCAAATTCATTATGTTCACAAACAAGCGTGACCCGGGAACATTTAAAAGTATTGCCTTGAAATGATACTGAAAAAGATGAAAGACAGAACTTTACGCCTTTGACAAAATTAAATTGTGGTAAGCTGCACAGTGTTAAAGGTTGATTAGGTCATATTCATTAGGTTTCTAATATATGTCAGCTTAGGCAGGAATGATATTCACATAATCCCAAATACTCTTGCAAAGGATGTGTAGCTTCTCTTAATTTGCCTTTAGCTAGCACTTACTGAATGATTTGTGTATCTGAGGTGGATATTACTGCCTCTTCCATCATATAGGGGAAGAAACCACAAGTTACAATGTCAAACCTAGAAGGAGCAAAGCTGGTTTGAAGTCTGAGCCAAGGCACGGCGCCACCCTCCACACGCCCCTGAAAAACACTGCCACGTGGAAAGCAGGTTGCGGATTGCATGCCTGTCTGCGGTAGGAAATCTACTTCATACTTAGGTATTTGTTTTTGGTTTCTTGACACAGTCTTGCTGTAAATACCGACAGCCTACCAAAATGCTGGTGATATGTGTTTACACCAGTATGCCCAGCCATACTTAGTTTTACATCTATTTCCACTGCTAATTTCTCAAAGAAAATGAGTCATTTCTCACACATGAGGTTTAGATGAAACACTTTCTGTTCATAGAATCTGAAACGAGTGATCATTGAAGATACATCTAGCCAGTGATTCCTAAAAGTTTGCTGCAATTTGTTTCAAGGACGCAGGTCAAATGAAATTTATTTTATGACGCTCCACAGTGATTCTAGTACACAAACAGCTTGACCAAACTGTGCAGAACAAAGACAATGGAGAATCACTCTGTGTGTGTGTGTGTGTGTGTGTGTGTGTGTGTGTGTGTGTGTGTCTGTCTCTGTGTGTGTGTGTCCTCTCTGTCTCCTCTCTCTCTCTCTCTCTCTCTCTCTCTCTCTCTCTCTCTCTCTCTCTCTCTCTCTCTCTCTCTCTCTCTCCTCTCCCTCTCCCTCCCCTATCTCTCTGTCTTTCTTCCCTCCCCCCTCAGCCCCTCTCTCCAGTCTTTTGGACTTAATTCTTTACCCCCACCATTTACTGAGCAGGGAACAAGAAAGAGTTATTTTAAACCTAGTATATATAAAATCCCCCAGTCACTGTATAAAAATGTACCTATTCTGCTCAGAATGGCTTTCAGTGTTCTTGTCAACATTTTTTATTGTACTTACTTAGGTGAGCACATCACAGCATCTATGTGGAGGTCAGAGGACAACTTAAGGGAGTGGTTCTCTCCTTCCAGCATGTGATCCTGGGTTTCAAACTCAGGTCCGAAGGTTTGTAGCAAGAGCTTTTACCCACTGAGTCATCTCACCAACCCTACAATACGGTGCTTTATGTAAAAGGAAAATAATAATATTTAAAACTGCACTATATTTGTGTATACTTTTTGGATAATTTACATGTTTATAACAATATCCTTTCTAACCAAGAAGATGATAGTTTTTTTTTATAGTTTTCATACACAATGTCCTGTACTTTTCTTACCAAATTCACCTAATAATGCTACATACAGCATCTATTTTCTGAATCAAATGTTCTTCCCATATCACTAAGAGCTAGTTCCTGGATTGGCAAGGGCCAGTGTTCTCTGCAGCTTATCTTGTTTTTATGCAATGCAACAAAATGTTTTGTTTGATTATGAAAGCCTCACGAGACCTTTCAAATGAGGGAGGCATATATTTAGAATCGGTAACTTTATCTCCTTATGTTACATATCCCTTTGTCTCACTTGCAACTAGAAATGCCAGGGTTGTGTGATTTCTGATTTTGAGTAAAGGTTTAGTATTTTGTACATAGAGCATTACTAGTGGGCCTTCCCCGACTGTATGCATTTCCCTTCACACTGATCACCTGTCCTTTGTCAAAATCTCTTTCCCTCATTGATAATGACTGGTAATCAATATGTAACCAGACTTCTTGGAACTGAACCGCACTTCCTTTTTTTGTTAAAGCCCTCTTCGGGCTTCGGTGTGGAGCGACAATTCCTCTGTCCCCATCTCTGATGTGTTCCTCATGGGTCTGGCATCCACACTGGGAATAAAACAGATCTGTCTTTTCAGTCCCTGTTGTTGCTGTTTCAGGCTGCACTGTTATGTTCTGACTTCATGAAATTACCCAGGGACCACTCCTATTTCTAGCACCTATAATAATTTAAATAATACTGGAATTATCAATTTTAATAAGTTGGGAATTCAGCACTGAATTCATCTGGCTGCAGGCTTCCTCAACAGCAGATGATTAACCACCTCTCCAGGCTCTTCTATAATAATTGATCTAACTCAGCTTTTTGCTTCTCGTGTGTGTGGTGGTATTATAAAATTTTCATAAGAAAAACTGTTCTCCGCTCTGTGGTTTTTGTCGCACTCCATTGTTTTAGAAGTATTCGATTTCCTAACATCTCTGAATTGCTATGTCTTTTTAAGTTTTCTTTTCTTACCTCATTGAATGTTCTTAATTTTCAGTTGGAGTAGGATGAGACTATAATTTGTAAACGTTGTAATATGTTAAGGGTTTCTTTTTGATAGGTGTGTAATTTTTATAAATACTTTAAGGAACTCGCAAACCTTAGACCAACAGTTGTGGAATCTGCACATTCCACAGCAGGACCAGACTAGGTCCTCTGCATACAGAAGACAGTTGTGTAGCTTGGTCTATTTGAGGAGCCCCTGGCAGTAGGATCAG